TCAAATTATTCTCTGACTTAAGTTATAATCTTAGAGACCAACTTATATATTAATCGATCACAACATAAACAACTTAAGACATTATTTAAGACGGTGTTAAATATATAAGAATACCAGTCTACGATATTATCAATACTTACTAATAGATCTTTTTTAGCGCCGACTAGAAAAATATGATGAGAACCAACGTTGCTGCGACTTGCCTCGTTCAACCATTGCTGGCAATGCGTCAGTGACATCAAGTTTCCCAAGTCGAAAACGATCATGATTACTAAAATGAAATAACATGCGTAAGAATTGTAAGACAGCTGGATGAAATTGTGCACAGAAAGAGAAATTTTTTACCATTAGCACCGCGATAATAAGACGCCGCTATGCACTTGAACCTTTCCTGACCCGCGGTATCCCATCTGCAGGTGGCATCTCAAATTACTATATTACATACTATTTGCGCTTGAACGAAAAGAACAATTTTGCTTAAATATCTTAAAATTCAAGCTAAGATATCTAAAAATTTATCTAGGTGCTAATTTGAAAATAAGTTCGTTAAAATAATTATCAAAATAATTGCGTAGAATGCTCAAACTGATTGCTAGAATGTCAAAATTTTTTGCAGCATTATATGAGTTTTCTACATAATTATTTTGATGGTCCGATACAATTATTTTTAAACCTGTATCTAGATAATTTTTTAATATATTTCATAAAAATCATTCTATAAGTGTAAATTTTTCTGAATACGCTTAAATTTATTACATTTGCAAATGGAAAGGCACGCCAAGGATGTCGAATCTCTCCACCTCGAAATCCACGCCGATAGTGGCCTTGTAATTGTTGTCGAAGAGCCTGTGGCAGAAGCTGCGCAAAGTGATCATTCGTCTTATTGTTCAAGTTTTCAGATCGCGGAAAAGCCATTAAATTGACTCCGCAAAGAATAATCAATTTTTCTAAAATTGTACTAAACGATGGATATCGTTTGCCAATCACCGACGATTATTACCGGTTCACCAACGATGTCTTGCCGACGGCGACGTCGCCTACGACGATCACCTTAGAAATTCGGAGAGTCAAGCTCTTATTCTCGCAAGTCCGTCTGATCAAAGTGCCGAAATCATTCTCGTTATATGGTGTGGTCTCAGATGAAAATGGTGGTGGCCAATTGGTTATCTGTCAGCGAAGATCACAATCTATTTTTACTCATAAAGTTGACTTTAATTTTGATTTGATTTAATTTTTTCTTTTAAGGATTAAAAAAAAAGTAAATTAAATCAAGATTAAAAAATTAATCTACATTATATCCATTTTTACTCACTAAATTTTTTAAAGAATCTCACTCTAAGTAAAAATCTTGAATCAGTCTTGAAAAAAAGTGGCTCAATTTTCAAAATCTTTAAAAATAAGATTTTACTCTTCAGAGTAATAAGATTCACTCTAAAAATTGTAGAAAGTATCAACATAAATAAACTTCAATCTCGATTTAATTTATTTTTCAGTCTTTTCTAGTCCTTAGAAAAAAATTAACAAAGATTAAAGTTAATTGAAAAAGGCAGTAGATTACGACAATGTAGATTAACTTCGATCTTGGTTTAACTTACTTTTTATCTTCTTCTAGTTATACGTATTAGAAAAAGATGAACAGTAAAAGTCGCGAGATTGAATTTAATTATATTGATAAAAATGGGCCAGAAAAAGACATATTAAATCCTTTGAGCATCAAAAATTAATTCGAATAATTCCTACCTGCCTTTCGTCATTGGCTTCTTCTTTCATCATTTTGTAAGTCGCGGAGCGCGTTTCCAACATCGTACTCTTCGAATCGGAGCGCTTGATGAAACAATAAGAACGCGCTCTCTTTCTCCACACATGTGTCACTGTAATTTTTGCAATTGCATATTGTTGATTGCGTTTTTGCACACTGCTGTTTGAGACTGACTATGAACAAAGACTCACTGTTCAACGTTCACTGGTTTGGAGCAAAACGCAATTGATTCCGCATGACTAAACGGCAAACATTGGTTGCTGTGGCAGGTGTTTCATTGTGACATATGAGGGAGGCTCATACGGGCATAATTATGAAAACAAATGTGTCTGCAATAAATTATTTCAAAA